CGCCCACTGGCGGATTCGGATTGGGTGATGCAACTGCCCATTTCGAGAGGCGGGCGGGCGAAGCGTCGAGTTACAAACAGAGGCCACCAATCGTTCCGCGGGGACACAGAAAACAGACGCGAGGATCGCCAATGAAAGCGTTCGGGCTGAGAAGGGCAAGACGCTGATTGGTGGAGGGGGACGGCGGCGACGCCAGGAGAGGGGGTGGGAGGAGCTTCCCTTCCACCGCAGAGAAGTTTTCCCCTCACTCGCAACTCTGCCGATGTGGTGGACTACAGATCCCATCATCCTTGGTTCTGGTCGGTGGGAGTTATTCCTCACACCTGGAGGACGCTGCGCTCAGGGGATGGGTTTTGAAGGGACATCTGGAGTATACCTGGATGGGAAGGATGGGACTTGTTGTCCCTTGGGCCTTATTTTGGCCTTTCTTGATTCTTTCTGGAGCTTTTGCAGAAAGTTTGTTTGTTCTAACCTTTTCCGGCCCTAATAAAAACGGTCTTTTGGGTTTATTCCTTGACTATGATTGATTTTTTAGTGCAGGGGGCAGTTTCAAGGGAGGAATAGTAGTAGTAGTAGTACTAGTAATAATAATAATAATAATATAATAGTAATAGTAATAATAAAAAAAATATATGCCACCCGACTCCCAGTGACTCTGGGCAGCTTACAATTGTTTGCAATGATTTCTTAATGATTGTAATTAATCAATAATTCATTCTCATGGCTCCTCATTAATTATTGTAATTAATTGTTTGTAATGTTTCCTCGTTAACTGTTGTAATTATTGATTATTATTTCATTAATGAGAACTGTAACACAAATGCATTTGTAAGAAGGGATTGTTATTAATTATGAGCAGCCCTGAATTGGTTCGTTTGATTTTATTCCATATTTGCAAGGGGAAGATTTTCTAATCTGGCATAAATGGAAGAAGATTGGCTTTATTCTTCTATGTATGTTTACAGAATAGACATTTGAAATTCCCCTGTACTGCATTAATGGGAAATCCCAGAGGAGAGAGAACTGCCCTTTCAAGACAAACTCTTTCTCCCCTTATCAACAAAGTCCAGATTTTACATGTTTATTTGTTCATTCATTCAGTTTGTATAGCTGCCCGTCTCACATTTGTGACTCAAGGAGACTTTACAAGTTCTCCTTGTCCTTCTTACCATTTCATTTACAGGTTAAACCCATTTTGGGGGGCCAAAAAAAAAAAAATCACATTTCACTGTTACAGATCACTCATTGCACTAAACAATAAGGTACTTTAACCAAGATGTTTTGAACCAGCTGAATATCCTGTCTGACACCACGTTGCACCACAACCTATAGTTTATGAATGTCTTGGCTGACAAACCCATTTAACCCCCACACTAAACAAACCACATTGTGGCTGAGTCTAAATATGAACGATGCCCGAGCCTACCATATTAGGGCTAATTAGATGAAGTTGCCCTTTAATATTACAGATCTTATCCTAGGATCTGTGTTTCTACAAATACAGAAATGTGTACATTTGGGGAATATCCTCTGTCCGGTCTCTCACCCAAACTCAGAACAAAAGAAAGCATATTTACAAGGAAGCGGCCGCGTGTCTTCATAATATCCACCTACTCAGCTTGCTGCAAAGGAATGTGCAGCAGGATTTACTTCGTAAAACCGCTTCCCTCCTGGAGTGGGATTCTTATTTTGATAAAAGCAGTTAAATGACAAGAAATAAGCAGTGCAGATTATAACTGATCTTTGACAAAACTTGACAGCTGCTGTAAATACACAACTGACCATTAAAAACATGACTTAAAGGTAACAGGCCCGTGGAAGAATTTGGGAAGTGCTATCTGTAAAGAATCGAGATTGTATTATACACGCACAGAGATACACACATTCTATCCATTTATTGTGCATTTGGGGAAAGAAGGGCATCTTGTTATCCGTGGACTTACAGTGCCACGAATCAACGTGCCTCGCCAATGATCCCTCTTGTATCCCAGGTACAAGGTGCCAGGCTGATTGCTTTCCATTACACGGCGGGAAATAAAAGGCACCGCTAGGTGGAGGCCTCCAGCTGTTTTTACGTCGTCAGAAAATAAACGCCTCCTTTAAGCAGCAGGAACGGAACTAGGCCTAGAACAGCCTCCGTATGACAAATGCATAGATTCAGCATGTCACTTTGGATCCCGTTCAGTTGTCAAATCAATTCAAAGAACCCAGCCAGTTTGATTTGCTGGATCAAGGTAGCCCTTCCGCAGTGTTCAGGCCTTTCAGGGACATTCGGTTCAATTCAGAAAGCGGATCCATGTTCAAGGAGATTTGATCAAATCACCTTTGACCCAAATCAGGCAATTTAAACTTTTAAAATTTGGGAATGGGTGAAATGCAAATTAAGTAGGTAAATAAAAAAATTACAGCTTTGTGAAGCCCTATTAAACACTAAAAGAAAAAGAAAAGAAAGAACCATCACTTAATGTTTACCTACTGCCTGATCCTGTTCTTCCCTGCCCTACCCCAGCAGCCAGCCTTCTGTAGATGGGGAGTTCTCAAATCTAAAGGCAAATCAAATCAAATCTTCATTATGGTCATAGCCCAGCATAACAAAGGCAATTATTCTGTTGTTTTCCCCCACCCAGCAATTAAACTTATAACCACACATCTATCAATAACATCTCCTTAGCTCCATAAGAGTGAACACTTATTACAAACCAGGTCTTTATGTATATATCTTATCCTCTCTTACAGGAAGATATGCTTTCCCCAGGCCAGCTCAAAAGAATGTGTTGCCTTCAAAAGAGGAACAGCACGTTGCACCCACACTCGGAGTGTGCAATACTCAAAGCCAGCCAAGTTATTTCAGCTGGAAGATCCCAGACATGGTAAAGACCAGGGGATAGGTGGTTAAGAGCAAAATAGAGGATCCTAGAAAAATTGGCTTTAGCTGTAGAAGTTTCTCCCATAGCATGAGGATCAGCTACAAACTTGGCAAGTGAGTATAAACTGAGCTTGTAAACAACCTTTGATCAACTGCTTCTATATTATAATTATTATCTTTTGTTTATTGCTTTGATTGCAGTGTGACGAGGCGTAGCCAGTCTGGAAACCAATTTGAAACTAATTTGCCTGGTTGAAAATAACAAATGCAAACCATTTTCAAAATAACCAGATCTAATCCAACTTAAAGCAAAACAAAAGTTTTTAAAGGCTGTGCCAACTTGTGATGGAGGTCACTTTTTACACAAAACTCACTTGCCTGCTTGTATCTTTCTTCAGTGTAGTGACAAACTAAATAAACGTCTGAGTGTTCGGAGCGCTAAATATCAAGAAACAAACACAGTGGGGTTTGGGCAAATATGCAAGTGGGGATCATTCAACATAACATTTACGGAAAATATAAATCTAATCGATTGAGCTATCAAAAGCTTCCCTTCTGTATGAGACAGATGTAAAAAGCAATGCGTTAAATTATTTTAGTGTTAGTACCATTAAAAAACACAGACAGGCAGAGAAGAGAAGACGTACATTGTTCCTATGTTCATGTGTTCCTTCTTGTGTATGCAAGCCCTAGTAAGAACGCCACTGTCCCACCCCTCACACTGGCTTGGTTTGTTTATTGTGGTTGAGTCACCAAGTCAAAATTGACTGTGGATGTGCGTCACACAAGACAAT